GTCTCATTTGGTACAATTGGGTAAAAGATGTTCTTTTTACTTTCAGTGGTACGTTCACATGACAAATATTTGTAGGTTGTTATTAATAAATTTTTTATTTGGAAACCATTTTCTGAAAACCTGAGGTATTAAAATTATATCTTTCTTATTTTGAAAACTAAGATCTAAACCCAACATTCTCCTGGTAGATCCATAAGTCAGATGAAATTTTCAGATGTCCACTTTTTTATATAATCTGTATTTGCTTTTAAATAAAAAGTAGTACTTTGTTAAAATGGAAGTCCTGTAGTTTTCCTAGATCTTGTTGAACAGTCTGATGCACTTCATTGGACTGTATATCTGAACTAAATTACTATATTTTTATGAACAAGCTTTTCTATTACAGAGAATCCACTGCATAAACAAAAGATTCCTGGGCTGAGTATGCAAACAGCATCTGCATGTTCTTGCCAGACTTGGTATTGTTTGGTTTCCACCTATGTTTTAACTATCCAACTTCAAATGTCCTTGTGACACCTTAAGGTTCTGTTCATCTTCACATTTGTTTCTGAAGACAAAACATCATTTGGTACTGTGGGTGTGCTATTAGTGCTCACCTAAAATAGTACAACTTCACAGAAATGTTTTAGCCTCATACAGTGTAAATCTCTTTAGTAGCCATGAATGTTTTTTGTTCTATCTGTGAAATACCGCAATAGTCTTTTTCCCTTAGTGTATTCTTTAATGACACTTCTTTGTTTTTTAATCAGCAAAGGAAAAATGGAAAGCAATTGATCAAGATCCCGGTACACAGGCTATGAAGCAGCTTAAGACAAATCAAAACAGATCAGAAGATTCCAAGGAAAAGGAGCCTCACTACTCTGAATCTCCTATGGTTGCTACTTCAGATGGGACTCCAAGTAAGAGCTTTCTGTGCCATCCTGTAGCAAAGTCGCATGCGCAGCATAAAAAAAGGAAACGCAGTATTGATCAAATCAAGTGCTCGCAAAGTTTTAGGGCAACTACAGCTGAAAAAGTGAGAAATGTATCTGCAAAATGTGATGCTGGACATTGCAGAAATGCCCTAAACCATTGTAAGGGTTTGCTCTGTGCAGCAGAAAAGAATCCGTTTGTGAGGTTAGAGGCCTGTAGTTACATCAATGCATTTGTGAGTTCTTCAGCCAGTGGAAGTACCAGTAGTTTTAAGTTAAGTGGATTCTTCCATGTAGCCCAGGATAAAAGTAAGCGTGTTTTTCCTGATGGTACTGTAGAAGAGAGCGGTATGAACTGTAAAACTAGTAGAATGCAAAGCGAGAGGTCACCCATAAAAGGTAGCTTGTTTAATGAAGACAAAACTCAAACTGGAGAAGGGTATTTTTCATGCTGTCAGTGTGAGAACAGTAAGTGTTTAACGGGAAAAAAGTGGAATAATGGTAGAAAGTCAAGAAAAAAGATTAACATCATTGAGAAATCAACAGTGCAGAACATTTTTACAGATGTGGCTAATGGATGCAGTGAGTTACAAACAGAAGCGGCAGTTGCTGTGTCAAGCTCCTTTGCAGTCTTAGGACTAAATCATAAAGCAAGTACTCTGTCAGCTTCATGTGATGATACAGCAAATCTTCATATGGGAAAAAATACTTGTGAAGCACAAAATACATCAGTCTGGAGAAAGAATAGTACCAAACTACCTTCATTTGAGGATAACTTCAAGAAGACATCTGAGCTCTCTGTAATAGCAAAAGAAGAAAATGCAAACAGTGTGCTGCATCATTCTGATGCCTCAGGCAACCTGAGAGTGCCAGCTTGGGTACATGGTGCTTCTAATTGTCACAAAAGCAAAACAAATGAAAAATTGAACAAAGCTAATAAGAAACTGCAGCGGTTTACCTGTCAAAGAACAGTACCTATGACTGGTAAAAAAGTTTGGCCTTGTGAATCTTGTGCCAGGACTTCAGAATGGGTTCATAAAAATCACAAGTCCATCTCAGAAGGAAAAAGACTTTTAAAGGCTGCCTTCAAGGAATCCTCTGATAAAAGCAATGTTAAAGCTATAGGAAATAGTGCTGTGACCAAGAATTTGAGACAGTTTGATTTGCCCACATCACCAGCAGAAGTTAAAGAATCTACACATGAAATAACAGATCCAGATACCGAATGTCTGACTTCACTTGAAACACCAGAATCCTCTTCTAGGAATATTTATGGGACTTTGAGAATGAGCAAGGAAAATGTGGAGTCACCAGTTAATATAGATGGAAGTGCTGTGGCTTTTAGCCATGATGATATGCAAGAAGTTAAAGCAACCTTGAATTTTCCAACTAAACAAAAAGATAAAAATAAACGATCTCTAAGAAAAAGAAACCTGTCTGTGACAGTCCAAAATGATACATCTACAGGTAACACAAACAGAATAAACTTGAACCATGAAAAATCACTAGTGAAGCAGACATCTTGTGATTTAAAGGCAATGAAAGTATTAAACACTGGAAACCTGACAAAATTCAAAATTCCTTTATGCAGAAAAAAACCTGAATCTGAGAAACTGAAATGTGTCCATTCATTTGAAAGAAAAACCTGTAGTCCCCTGGAGCTTCTTGGCAGCACTAGTGTTTCAAATAGACAGAAAACAGGTGAAGAGACTTTCTTGGTAAATTCTGAGCAGGAGCCTCTTCCTGTTGCAAGTGATGCTGTGTCTACAGCTTCCATGGGGAAGAAAGCAGATGAGATCAACAGTGAGGATTTTCAGTATGATGGTTCTGAAAACCTTTCAAATGAGATGTCTGCACTCCCTGAACATTTTTCTCTATATCCACAGCCTTTTTGTGACGGACAGCTAGAGTCACCTGTGCTTGATTTCCCTGGTACTGAATGTGTGCTGAAGTCTGATTTTCCTGATTGGAATGCAGTTGATCACTCTGTTGCATTAGAAATAAATGACAATAGCAGATCAAGTGGGGATCTTTCGCAGCACAAAAGCCAAGATTTTTCAGATGTTCTTGAAGCTTACAAAGAAGATGTTCTTGTCATTGATGTGATTGAGGATGACCCTGACCTTTTTGGAACCAATAGTGAAAAGGAACTTGCATTTGCAGACTTTGAAGATTGTCCTGTGAAGGTGTCCTATATGGGCACCTGTATTAAGGAAGAAAAGCAAGATCTTAAGCCTGAATATCCTGTTATGTCAGAAAACAGAGATTCAGTAGATGATAATTTTAGGTATGCATATCATTCGTTTTATTACAATAATCCTAAGTACTTTGTTCTCTTATCAGTATAGTTTAGTTGTAGTGGTCAGGCCTTCTCACAGAATTTCACTAATTTCTGGGCCGATTTTGTTAAAATTTGATTGAGGTATGACAGCACTGTGAATGCAAATAAAGTAATTTGTTCCTCATGAGAACTGGGATAAGTTCTCAATCAAATGAAAGTGTAGTCTGAAAGAATCGATTTAGACCAAGTGAAATATGAAAGAATAAACAAATTATATTAATTAATAATATCCTTAATATTTTAAAATACCTGACAATTTGAGATAGCAGATAGCACTTAACGGTATTTAGTTGTAAAGTGATGTAATACTTAGAAATATTTTTTGCTTTCGAAGTGTAGCTTATTCTTTTGCTGGATCTGTAGGAGTAACTGGTTTTCTTTGCAATAGTATTCCATTTTGCTATTCTCCTTCCCTGCTTTTTTTCTGTCCCCAGACGTGAATAATTTTCACATCTGTGATTTGGCTAATACATTATAGATGCTTATGATCCTGCATCTTCATTGAAGCAAGTTCTCTTTGTAGATTTTTAGCCATTAATGTTTTTCTGGGTATTGTTAAAATTGTTCTAGTGAGTGTATGCATGTGTTGGGCTTTGGTACATTGCTTCTTATGTACTGATATTTTAGTCTGGCATTTGTACATAGTAGTCGGAACTGTATTTCTGCTAGTAGCAAGTTATTATGGAAGGATAGGTGAGTTTTTAAAAAGATTTTTAAAATGTGTTGAGTGATACTTGGGTGTTTAACAGCATTTAAATTACAAAGGAAAGGATGGGTGCCTTAATTTGTGGTGTTCTTCTGGCTACAAAAATCTGAGGTGTAGCAGTTTGCCAAAATGACAGTTGCTGCACGTGAAGTAATACTTCTTATCCAAGTTGCATCATGAAACCAAAGCCCTGAAACTGTGCGAAGGGTGTACCAGGTGCACTCAGTAACTGGCTAGTGTTCAGTGACAGCTGTTAGCCGCTGTGGACGTGTAACTATTGTGGTCTGAGCTTTGAATTTAAATATCAAGATGTGTTTAGCCAGTGACACTTTTCATCCTTGTCTATTTGTGATCTTAAAAGCCAGAGGGGTATTTTTAGTTGTGAAAATTCAAGGATAATAATTTTTTGCTTCCAAATTTCAGGTGGTGAGAACACGTTCTTTGAAAGCAGAACATAGTGGTCACAACAGTGAGGTCCAAAATTCAAATAAGGCTTACTTCTTTGTTTTGGGGTGGGTTTTTTTAAAGCAAAATAACAGTGTCCAACAACCACAGAGGCACTTAACATTGCTACACATCTTTGACTTAAAATTTTCTAACTACTGTAATTGTGATTGTGTACGTGCCCAGAACTGATGTCTCTGAACAAGTAGGTTTAAGTAGGACAAGCAGGTCTTGTATCTTTAATCCAGATAGATTCAGGAAAGGCTCTGTGCATGTCCATAACAGTCTGATTCAGTTACCATGCTCTGGTCATTACTCTGATAAGTAGAACTGGTTATTCCACTGGTGGTTGTATTTCAAGAAGGAAAGAGT